TGCCCAAACCCACCAATCAATCCCCTTCCTCTCCCCTCGTTTATTTATTATCCTTCATGTGTGTATGCTGCTAAATACGACAGCACAGTTCTTTTTAGTGGTGGAGATAGGAGAAGGATTTATCCGAGTGAATTGTCAAATATAATATTAAACATCGTAGAAAAATAAGTGTTAATATACATACTCGACATGTTATACGATTGTTCTAACCAGTGTTCAAAAGATAATAATAATAATAATAATATTATTATTATTATTAATAATAATAATAAAACGACGATTATTACGAGGAGAAGGAGGATAAGAACTGTTAGGAGGACAACAAATGATATTAAGATAAACGAAGATCGTAAGATTGTTGTTGTCTCATCTAAAGGAATTAAGGAAAAGGTTCTTTTAGGTAATTGTAGTAGAAAAAGGTACGAACGACGTTAAGAAAAAAAAAAAAAATAAAGGGGGTTTTGTTTAAAGAATTTTAACGCTGCTGACAAAAAAAAGTTCCTCTTTCCTCCTCCTCCTACTCCTCCTCCTCCTCCTCTTTTTCGTCGTCGTTTATTTTTTTTCGAGAGAGAAAGAGAGTGACAGTGAGTGAGACAAAGAGAAAAAAAAACACACACACAAATCAAACAAACAAACAAACAAATAGAAAAACAAAAGTGGTGACGAATGATTAACAAAACTACGCAAACATCAGAGATCAGCTCACCCCCAAACCCTTTAACCAACCCCCAGGTCTATCTTGAATTGGCATGAACGCCGTGAAAAATTTTGACGAACATTACGAGAACAACGACAACGTTTATCTAAACGTCAACAACAATAAAAACAACAACAATAATAATAACGATATTAATAAGAAGAAGAAGAAGAACAACAACAACAACTGCAACTGCAACTGTAGCAACTGTAGCAGCAGCAGCAGCAGCAGCAGCAGTAACAGGATTAAGAATAAAATTAAGAAAAAGGACAATAAAAAAATCGGTTACCGGGAAGAATTTAGCGGCAATGCTCATCATAGACGTTACCTGACGAGCGCACTTGTGCGTAAGAGCAAGTTCGCGATTCTGGTTATCGACGCTCGATGATCTAACTGTCAAAAGCGTCAACAACCCGTTGGCTGTTGTCACCAAAGACTATATTCATCGTCATCGTTGTCGTCGTCGTCGTCGTCGTCGTAGTCGTCGTCGTCGTAGTCGTCGTCGTCATCGACCTCATCACGGCGAACAACCCTCACACACACGCTCCTGCGCGCCATTTTTTTTGCAGATCATCCTTCTACTCTTCTAATACTTTATTTTATTAAGGTTAGTAATAATAACAATAATAATAATAAATAATAAATAATAATAATAATAATAATAATAGTTAATATTCTTTCAATAATTATTATTATTATTATTATTTATTTTTCATATTTGATGTATCCTTGCTACCATCACTGTCATCACCAACATCACCACCACCACCACCACCTTGGTTTGTTCACTTCTGATATCATTTTTTATTCATTAATATTATTTGGCGTATCCTTGCTACCATCATAACCATCATCACTACCACCTGATTCGTTCACTTAGGATACCATTATTTTTATTCATCCATCCATCCATCTATCCATTTATCTATTTATCTGTCTGTCTGTCTGTCTGTCTATCTTTGTCCTTCTCTCGTTACGCGCCCTCTCCCGTCTATCCGTCATTTTTCTTCTTTTTTTTTCTCTCTCTCTCTCTACGTACACGCCGGATCGATCTGAAGCCGATCGATAGTCGAGGGTGAGTGGGAGGGAAGGCTTTTGGTATCACAGCGAGGATATCACGTGTGTGTCTCGAGATCCAATGCACAGGATGATGATGATGATGATGATGATAATAATGATGATGATGAGAATCATTCTTATTCGGTACCTTTATTTTGGTCCTTGTACAACCCTCATCCCTGTTTTGTGGATTAAAATGAAGAAAAAAGTATTTTTTTCTACCCTTGTTACAATTCATTTCTTCATTGTGTCGAGGGAGACAGACATTGGGCTAATGATTAAAGTCAAAAATAAATGATGGGGATAATTGTAGGGTGAAAAATAGGGGGTTAGGTGGATTAGGAGGAGGAGGAGGAGGAGGAAAAGGAGGAGGAAGAAATCGGCCGCAAACTCCTTCGGGAAAGATGGAAGGATGGAATTGGGGGTGGGAGTTGAAGGGGGAGGATTACATAACGCTAGTCAGTTTCTTGGTTTTTTTTTATTTTATTTCTATTTCTCATTGGTTTCTATCATCATCATCATCATCACTACCACCATCATCATCATCATCATCATTATTATCAATATTATTTTTTTGTTCTTTTTTTAATTGAACAAAATTCTTTTGAACGTTCGTCCCTCGGACGGTGACAAACATTCGCATCGACGGCTAATTAAAAGCTACTCGCCTCATGGACTACTTCTCTCTTTCCCTTTCCCCATTTCTCTCGTTTCTCGATGAAGGAATTTAATTAAAAAAAAAAAAAAAAAAAAAACATATACACACATAGAAAGTATATATAGAGAAAAAAGGAGAGAAGAAGAGGGTTGGTACCAGGGGGTTGGTCTCGCGACCGTGGCATACGCCGTCGTTTAATTCATCGTACAAGGTCAAGTTTTCTTTTTTTTCTATTTTTTATTGTCCAGTCGCACGACACACACACACACGCATATATACATCGTGAGACTGAAAAATAAAGATAGTAAGTAAGAAATAATTAAAGAATAATAAAAAAAAAGTTAAAAGTCAAATAAATAAATGGAAACATTGATAACCAATGTTTTATGTTTTGATAAAACATTGAACTCGTTTCATTGAAAAATTGTATAAATATTAAATAAAAAAAAAATAATATATAATAAAAATAATATATATATATATATATATAAAATATATAATATTATAAAAAATATATTATAATATTTTATTATAACTATTATAATATTTTTATAATTTATATATATACATATTTATAAAATATTATTAAATATAATTACAACAAAAATTAATTATATATATATATATATTAGAATTTAGAATATTAGAATATTAGAATATTAAAATAATAAAATAGTTTTTATATTTAAAACATATAGAAAAAAAAAAAAATAGAAACATGAATAACAAATTTAATATCTTTTAATAAAACATTAAACCTATTATTGAAAAATCATAGAAAATATAAGATATAAAATAAAATAAAAAATAATAAACACATATACACATACATACATATATATATATATATAATATATTAGTACTGTATATGATATTGGGTGGACATTGACACCAAGTTGCAGAGAGGAGACCAGCAGAAGGAGGACATTGACTGATCCCCGAGAATTCCGTTCATGAATTTTGATTCTTACTTATACAAGGTGTATTTAGAAACGATAGGATAGATTGACTAGAAACAGCACCACCTTTACCTCCTACACCTCCTCCCACCCACCCCGTGTTCTTCCCCTTTCCCACTCTTTCCTCTTCGTACACTTTATCGAAGAGTATGAAGCAAGCAAGCAAGCAAGCAAGCAAGCACGCGCGCGGAGGGCTCAAAACGATCGATGGACCCTTAACCATTCTTCCGTGTTATCGTTACGCGAACCCCCTCCCTTCCTCCCTCCCTCCCTCCCTCCTTCCCACTCTTTATCCACCCTTCCCCCCATCTTCTATGACCATCTCTAACCATCAGCTTTATTCCACGAACGATGCGCCAAAGTGCACGCTTTCCAAGCACGTCACCCCAACAACGTGCACACGTTTCCTCTTCATCCCCTTACCTATACCTTTCCACCCCTTCCTCACTCATTTCCTCTTTTCTCTTTTCTTCTCTTTTCATTCCTTTCTTCGATCCAACCCCTAGTACTCTATTTTCTTCTTTCTTTTCCTTTTTTCTTCTTTTTTTTTTTTGTTCTTTTATGATTCCCCTAATCACTACCCACTTTTATTTCTTTCCTTCATGTGTATTTTTTCTTATCCCCCCTCCTCCAAGCACTCAGGTGGTGATACCTGAGTGCTTTTCTCTAGAGGGGGGATATTTTTTTTTTTGAACTAGTTTTCATGTTTTAAATACCTCTATCATGTCATGTCATATCTCAGTGTAGTGTCATTACTTTTTTTTTAATCTCCCCCACTCCTTTATTTGGATGATGTGATACCTAACCTAAATGTTTCTTTCGGAATATTTTTTTTGTAATTAGCTTTCATATTTTTTAAATACTTCTTAGTCATGTCATCCATTTTTTTTTTAATACTCTCCACTTCTGTACTTAGGTGATGATACCTAACCTAAATGTTTCTTTCGGAATAATTTTTTTGTAATTAGCTTTCATATTTTAAATACTTCTTAGTCATGTCATCCATTTTTTTTAATTCCCCCCCACTCCTGTACTTAGGTGATAATAC